CCGCTGTTCCACAAAATCTTCACCCCTCCCCTTCTGCACCCCTGGCTTTCCTAGGCCTCAGTTTGGCCCTCTTGTAGCACTGACCTAAGGACCTGGATGGACTTGACTGAGGGGCAAGGGTTGGGTTTTCTTCAATCTGTGACTACTCAGAAATTGAACAGTTCTTGGCACACAGTAGGTCCTCAACACATTTCTGTTGAACACACACACACCCAGCATGGAGTGCCACCGTCTTCCCAGACTGGACACCCTGACAGACGTGTGGGATGCATGGGGCACAGGAAGAAGGAAAGCTGGAGACCGAAGGAGGAGAGCATGCCTCTTCCCTCCCCGGCCTTCCCCTCTGAGCAGCCAGGTAGGCACCACACTCACCCTGGGAGAGGGTGCTCCATGCTGGCAGGGAAGGAACCGGGGAGCCAGGACCCAGAAAGACCTAGACAGACCAGCAGGGGGAAGTAGCCGCACAGACTTAACTAGGGGTTGGCTATTTGCTGGCATACCCTGGCCTCCCTTCTCTTGCCCTCTGTCTCCCAAGGCCCAGAGTGGGGATCCAGCTATTGGCCCAGAGGATTTGGCGGGCCCTCAGAGTTGGTAGGGGCTCATGGGCAGGAAGTGAGTGAACAAGAAAGAGAGCCAGAGGGGGTCAGAGGTGGGAGCCTTTGTGGCCGGACCGGTTCGCTCCCGGGAACGGGACCGGTTCGCTCCCGGGAACGGGACCCACGTCAGTTCCACTCCTGCCCACCAGGCGGCAGTGTTGACTAAGCGCTCTGGCTGCCAGGCCAGTTTCCCTCACCCGCTGTTTTAGGCGGGAAGGGAAGTGAGCCAGCTGGACCCGAGGTCCCGCAGGATGGATCTACCATTTCGGACACACCTCCCGGCCGAGACGGAGGACGCTGCCAGCACCCCGAGGCTCCGGTGCCCTCCGGGCGTGAGCACTCTCCTGCCTTGGAGCCGCAGATGAGGGCGCTTGCTTCTGAGCTCCATGTGAAGGGAGCCGCGGTGGAGCCGCTGGCTCTCCTCTGGGTCGCCGGGTGGGAATAACGGCGATGTTCCTACCGCCGCGGGGCGACTACACGGCGATTCCGCCTCCGCGCTCCTGTGGGTGGCATGGGAGGTTGGGCGCCCCAGGGAGCAGCCCTGAGACCGAGCTCCGTGATGGAGCCCGTCAGGGCGCATTCTCGGACCCACAGCTGTGCGCCTGGGGCTGGACGGAGGAGGGAGCCGCGACTGCAGTGCGATGGCAACAGAAACCACTCAGGGAGCACCCCGGCCTCGGAGGAGCGGGATCTGAGCAGCGATCCCAGCACCCAGCAGGCACCTGGGCTGTTTGCAGGCTGCGGCCTGGTGGACAGCCCCTGGGGTCCCTGTGGACACAGGCGCCTGTTGGGTATCACCCAGGACTGAATCGCCAGGTCGTTCATTCGGTGGGCAATTGTCAAACTACCACACAACTGGGCACCCAAACTCCTTGCCGACCACCTGCTGTGAGCTGGCCTGGCGGTTCCAGGGGTCGTCTCCAGGCACGGCAGCCCCTGGCCTGTGAGTCTGTGGTCCAGTGGGAGCACTGGAGCTCGGTCGAATAGAACAGAATAAGGTGGAGTCCCAGAGCCCTGACGGGGAGACAGGGCCGGGTTGCCGGTGCCCCAGGTGGGCTGTGTGCCCGTGGCTTCCATTTTGCTCAGCCATAGGCTGGCACGACCCCGGGACAAGCCCTGAACCTGCTCAGCTCTGTGCTGGGGCCTGAAACAGCCGCCCAGCTCCTCCATGCAAGCCCCTTGAGCTGGTGGGGCCCTGGGCAACCTGGCCGCCAGTGAGGGCATCTCGGGAGGGAGGGGATGTGGAGATGAGGGGTGGGGAGTGGGGCACAGGGAGAAGGGAAACAGGGAGCCCTGTGACCTCCCCCCAGGAAGCGCCCCTCCTAGCTTTGGGGGCCCAGTGCATCCTGCAGTACTGACGGCAGCCACCAGGGTCTGCTCGATCCTGCAGGGCCAGTCACTGCTTCTTGGAATAAACCTTTGGGACAAACCCTTGTGCCCGGGGAAGGACGCAGGCTCCAGCATGGGGGGCCTCCATCTCCCACTCCGGCGACCAGTCAGCAGCTACCCATAAAACTCCCACTGTGTGTCAGCACAGTCACATGGAGCAGATGTTGATAGCAACTAAAAGCTCAGAGGGCACAGTGGCCTGAGTCAGGAGGCTGGAGGGGCAGCACAGTGGTTAGGGCACGGGCTTCCAGCCAGACCCCTGCACGTCCTTGCTGCGACTTACTGCCGGGCGCTCGTGAACAAGCTGCTTCGCCTCACCGGCCACAGAAAAGACTTTCTTTTTTTCTTTCTTTCTTTCTTTTTTTAAAAAAATATATTTTATTGATATTTTACAGAGAGGAGGAAGGGAGAGAGATAGAGAGCTAGAAACGTCGATGAGAGAGAAACATCGACCAGCTGCCTCTTGCACACCCCCCACCGGGGATGTGCCCGCAACCAAGGTACATGCCCTTGACCGGAATCGAACCCGGGACCTTTCAGTCCGCAGACCGACGCTCTAGCCACTGAGCCAAACCGGTTTCGGCCAGAAAAGACTTTCTGAGGAGTCGCCCGGACTCAGCACAGCGGTGTTAGTTAGCTGTGTGCACGTGGGGGTGAGGGACGGTCTTCTCCGTGTCAGGCCTGAGCTTTCAGCGCCTCGGATGCCCGCTCCCTCGAGGCCTGGGAGACAGGCACCCCCGCAGCCTGGCGTCGGGCTCAGCTCGCCGCCTGATTTCTCTGAGGAGATTCCACAGTCACCTCTTGTACAGGAGTGTGGTTTATTACAGTGCTCATGCCCCAGCCCTCCGGGGCCGCCCACGGCGGCCGGCGTGCAGGTGGAACCGGGGTGGGGAGGAGGGAGAAGGCGGGATCCCTGGGCCCCGAACTTCCCAGAGAGGAGGGGTGCCCTGTGCCTGGCCCCCGGCTGGGCCAGCTGCACCGGCAGCCGGGTCGCGGTGACGGCTGCTGAGCTCGCACCGTGTGCTCTGGCCTTTGCTGCTCCAGGGGAGCGGAGGGGCCTGGCAGGGTACACGTGTGGAGGAGTCCAGGGGCGATGACTTCCGGAGTCAGGCACATCGGGGCTGGGTGCCCCCTGCCTCACACACGGGGACACCAGGCCAAGGAGGACAAGGAAACACGGGGTACGTCCTGGGCCTCCACACACCACCCCAGCCCCGTCGCTGGCACCGCACCGCCTGCTGCTCCAGGGACGGGCATGGGGTATCCGTCCCTTAGCCAGGTTAGAGGTCTTGGTCATGGCCTTGACCCCAGGTCCTGGGAAGGGGTCAGCGGGAGGTGGGGGCCAGGGTGCTCACAAGCCTCCAGAGTTGAGAACCGCTAGCAGGGTCGCCTAAGACCATCGGAAAACACAGATATTTACATTACGATTCATAACAGCAGCAAAATTACAGTCATGAAGTAGCAACGAAAATAATCTTATGGCTGGGGGACACCACAGCATGAGGAGCTGTATGAAAGGGTCGCGGCGTTAGGAAGGCTGAGAACCACTGCTCCAGACTGAGGACCTCGCCCTGGAGCAGGGCCACAGAGCCCCACCCTCCCCGCTGGGAGAGCAGGCTCCAGGCTCGCCCAGAACTCCCATCAATCCACGCTTAACAAGCTCCCCGGAGAGGGTGTGTCGTGGAAGAGGGAGGAGCTATAGGCAGCCGCCTGCCTCCCCGCCTCCGGTCCCCGTGGGCAGAGGGAGAGCTTCCTGGCCGGTCACAGCTGGCGCTCTGGGAGCCAGGCCCTCGGCCCCTCCTCTGGGGACAACGGGCTCTGGAAGGCGGCACTCCAGCCTGGGCAAGGGTCGGGGAGCAGTGTCACCCTCGGGTCCCCCGGCGTCCCCTTCTCTCTGGGAGACCCGGGCTGGCCTCTCTACAAGTCCTGGGACCTGGGAGGTGGTGAATTTAGGCGGCCCACGTCAGCAACAGCAATTAAGAGCCTTCTGTGTGCGGGTAAATGTCCGCCCTGGCTGTACGTTACCGCCGACCAGGTGTTTGTTGTTGTTGTTTTAATGCTCACTCAAGGACATGCTGAGAGAGAGGAAGGGGGGGGGGGGGAGAGAGAGACATCAATGAGTTGCCTTCCACACACCCCTTACCAGGGTTAGAACCCACAATCCAGGTATGTGCCCTGACCAGGAATCAAACTGGTAACCCTTCGGTGCACAGGACAACGTTCAGCCAACTGAGCCACTCGGCTGGGCTATAGGGTGATTTTAAAAATGACTGATCCTGTGCCAAAACTGGTGTGGCTCAGTGGATAAAGCGTCGGCCTGCAGACTGAAAGGTCCCAGGTTTGATTCTGGCCAAGGGCATGTACCTTGGTTGCGGGCACATCCCCAGTAGGGGGTATGCAGAAGGTAGCTGGTCCATTGTTTCTCTCTCATTGATGTTTCTTTTTCTTTTCTTTTTTTTTTTTTTAATATATTTTATTGATTTTTAACAGAGAGGAAAGGAGAGGGATAGTTAGAAACATCGATGAAGAGAGTATCATCGATCAGCTGCCTCTTGCCCACCCCCTAATGAGGATGTGCCCGCAACCAAGGTACATGCCCTTTGCCTGGAATTGAACCTGGGACCTTTCAGTCCGTAGGCTGATGCTCAATCAACTGAGCCAAACCGGTTTTGGACTCTCTCATTGATGTTTCTAACTCTCTATTCCTCTCCCTTCCTCTCTGTAAAAAAATCAATAAAATATAAAAAAATAAATAAAAATGACAGATTCTGGCCCCACCCGGCCGCTGGAACCAGGGCCTCTGGGCCAGGTGTGGGTGCAGGTACTTGTTAAAGTGCCTCAGGCAATTCCAAGCTGACCGCAGCCAGGAGACATCAGGAAATTCCCTGGATATAGTAACCCGTGACAGCAACTCTAATTAATCATCAACTTGTAACATGATCCCGGCCCATAGCAAGGGACCGCTGGAGACACGGGAACCTGGCTCAGCTCCTTCAGACAGTCCTTCCAGACCCAATGGGGGCCCAGCTCTGCTTGCAGGCGGGTAAGTGGGAGCCCGGAGCACAGGGATGCGGGGAGCAGGGAGGCTCTGGGTCCCGCTGGGAGCGCGGGACGCAGCCTCTGAGCCCGGCTGGGCTGGGGGTGGCACTGAGCTGGGAGCTTCCTGCCCTGAGGGTGCCGCAGCCAGCATCCCATAGTGACCGGATGACCCACATGACCTTCGGGTCCTATTGTTCAGGGAGAAGTCTGGTTGCATGGGGAACGGTGGAGCTGGGGGGCCTCATGGGAGACAGAGGTTCCAGCTGTGAAAACTGAGCTGTGGCCCCGGGTCAGGTCACCTCCTCTGACAGACACTGAGCCAGTGCCGCTGCCTCAGGCTCACAGGATGCCAGCAGCACAGCCCTAAGGGGTGGCCAGGGGGCCGTTCTGTGAGGCCGGAGATGGGGCTTTTACTGCGGGGATGTGAGAGTGCCTCTCTGACAGTGCTCCCTCCCAGGCAAAGAGCCCCCTTTCCCCGCAGCACTGAGCCCTCACACAGCAGCAGGTGGCCCAGGGCTGGGGAAGGGGGGAGGAGAGGGGAGACAAGGCTGCAGCTGTGACAACTGCCTTTGGATCTGCACCCAGGCTCCCAGTTCTGGCTGCAAGACTGCGGCAACCTTCTCATCCTCCCCTGCTCAGTGCCCTCTGAGTGCCCTCCCCTTGGGGGGGGGGTCGGAGGGGGTGTGTGTGTGTAAAGCCCCCAGGGGGCGCCTGGAGAAGCTGGGTGGCTGGAAGGCGGTGATGGAGATGATGGAGATCTAGGGGTCCTCACCGAGGAGACGGCTGATGCAGTCACTTAGATTCTAAGAGCCTGGTTGCAAAGGTTCTCTGATTTGTGTGTGTGTGAGTGTGTGAGTGTGTGTGTGTGTGTGTGTGTGTGTGTGTGTGTCTGGTGTGTTCACATTCATGACTCAGCTGAGGAAGGCTCTCACTGTCAGTCCCGGGCAGGTGCACCGGGCGGGAGGCCAGGGCCAGGGAGCCTGCAGGCCTGAGGGAGGGGCGCCCAGCCTCCCATGCAGGGAGCCAAGCAGAGAGGGGCTGGGCGGTTGGGCAGTCTCAGAGCCCCCGCTCCCCTCCCAGCGGCCCCTCCAAGGGGCTGTGAGGTCGGCTGTTCAGGAGCCTGTCCCTCAGCCCCTCCTCTAACCATAGACACCTCCTCCCCGGGCTGCTGGGACCCACCTCCAGAGCCCGGGAGGGGTGAGCGCTGCAGGCTGGCTGGTTCCGGTCCAGGATGGAGCTGCTTTCCCGTCCCCAGGGCCCTGCCGAGGCCACGCCTGGGGCGTTCCTCCTCCCTGTTCTGCCGTCAGTCAGCCAGCAGCCTAGCTCCCGCCTTCCTCCTCCCCCGCCCCCTCCTGTCCCCACAGCCACCTCAGCAGTCAGCCTCCCCCAGGGCAGCAGAGCAGGGACTGGGCGGAAACTCCACCCGCTGACCCTTCCTGCGGAAAGGGAGCCGCTCGGCCAGGACAGGCCCCTCTGCACTCACACTCTCAGCCCAAGGAGCCGAGCATGTGGGGTCTCCTGTCCCCAGCCCAGGGGCCCTTTCCCTAGGGTCTGCACTGGGTGGGGCTGAAGCAGCCCCTCTTTGAACCCCAACTCTGCCGGATGCTGCGTGCGCACTGCCAGGGGTGGAATGCCACTCACTCCGCATCGGAGCCTGTCCCAGGCCTGCACGTCAGGGATGGGCAGTGGCCGGCCACGGAGGGCGGCAGGGGGCGTGGAGGGGGGAGAGGAGGGCTCCAACCACCCAGCGGGTGTCCACCAGCCAGATGCTGCCAGGTGGGCACCTAACTGCTCCCACTCAGGTCCCTGGGGTCCGACGCAGGTTCAGACTGAGCCCACCTTTTTATTTCAGACTCCTTATCCGACCCAGAAAGAGAGGGGCCAGGAGGGAGGCAGAGGGGAGGGGAGGGTGACCCATAGGCTGGGGAGCTAAGAGCCGCTGGAGGTGAGAGGGGCCCCCAGGGAGTGTCCCCTCCTGGCTGCCGGTTCAGGTGGGAGGCCGGTGACCTCAAAGCCCCTCCCGGGCCTGGAGGGATGACCTGGGACCCCGCTCAGGCCTGTGCCACACCCCAGGGAAGCTGCCCGAACCCCCTGTCCCAGGACTGGGGTCCGGCCCTCACAGTGACAGGTTGTTTTCGGGGAAACCAGAGTCAGACAAGGAAACAGCACCCACAGGGGACCCGGCCAGAGCCCAGCCTTCAGGGCACCGCAGGCGGGTCCCGGCGGAGGGAACGCCGGTGGAGACAAGAGCAAAGGGGGGGGGGGGTGGACCTGCAGCCCACAAACCCCCTGCCGGGTTAGATGGAAGGGGCGGCGCGGTGGGGCTCCGGGCGGGGAGCTGCAGCCCTTAACTCTGAGGCCGCCCTGCCCGCGGGGGCACTGAGGGAGCTCAGACCACAGGCTGGAAGCGGGCTCTGGGTCCGGGGAGATGACGCCCGCGGACGGGGGTGGCGGGAGGAGAGCGGGGCCGCCCGCACTGACCCGCTGCCCCCGCCCCGCAGGCGCGGCCGCCCGGGAGCCGCGGGAGCCGCTGCGCTTCCACGCCGAGGCCCGGGGCGCGCAGGTGCAGCTGGGCCCGGCGCGGAGCACGGCGCGCCGCCTCGCCACCTTCCACGACGGCATCGTGTTCAGCCAGCGGCCCGTGCGGCGCGGGGAGCGCGTGGCGCTGCGCGTCCTGGGCCACGAGCGCGGCTGGAGCGGCGGCCTCCGCGTGGGCTTCACGCGCCTGGACCCCGCGCGCGTGCGGCCGCGCAGCCTGCCGCCCTTCGTGTGCCCCGACCTGGAGCTGCGCAGCCCCACGTGGGCGGCCGTGCTGCCCGGCGGCGCGCGCGCCGGGGACCTGGTGCGCTTCTGGCTCAGCCGCCGCGGCCGCCTCTGCGCGCGCGTCAACGCGGGCCCGCGCCTGCGGCTGCGCGAGGGGCTGCCCACCGGCGCCCCCCTCTGGGCCGTGATGGACGTGTACGGCACCACCAAGGCCATCGAGCTGCTGGGTGAGGCCCTCCGCCGCCCCCGCATCCAGAGCCTCCGGGAGACGTTCGCTCATTCACTCACTCACTCACGCATTCACTCATTCTCTCACTCATTCATTCATATTCAGTCCGTGTGTCCATGAGCTCCTGCCAGGGTCGGGTATGAGGATGGGAGCTGGGGAAAGCCCAGGCACAGGAAGGGCAGCCCGAACCCTAAGAATAAGATCACACCCCAAACCTCAGTGAAAGGGCTGACCACCTTCCACAAAGGGAGACATTTTGGGTGGGGCTTTGCAGTCTAAGTAGGAGTTCACTGGAGAGGAGTAGGGGGTAGAGGTAAGAGACAGCCTGTGGGGCAAGGGTCAGATGTCAGTGGGCGGGAAACACGTCCCTCTAGCCGCCTGAAGGACAGGGATTCAGGCTGAGCGAGGCCCAGGCCCTCCTCTCAGGGTAAAGAGAGGGTGCCTGGAGGAGGGGCTTGGGGAAAAGGACCTGCAGCCCACAAACCCCCTGCGGGGTTAGATGGAAGGGGCGGCACGGTGGGGCCCTGAGATCCCGCAGCTCTCACACAGCCACCGGAAAAGAGGCTTTGGGTGCTGCCTGGGGCGGGGGTCGGAGGTCCCGCCCTTCCCTCCGCAGCCTGAGTCTCCCTCTCTCCCCAGATCCCTCCGACAGCGCCCTGCTCACAGCCTCGCCCTGGGCCCTCCCGCTGGAGCCTCCCTCAGACCCTCCCTCAGACCCTGAAGGTGAGTGGTTTCCTGGGAGGGGGACTCCCAGCCTCCAGCCCCGGGGAGCCGGTGCCCAGCCTGGAGCTCAGGAGGGTCTCCCCAGAGGGCTCTGCCCCGGGCACCTGGCACAGTGCCCCCCGCAGCCCCGGCTCACAGGTCACAGCATGCCTGTGAGCAGACGCCGTTTTGCCAGGGCATGGTCATAGGGAAAGCGTTGCCAAACAGGCATCAACAACTATGAAGGCTAAGGAAGGAAATAGAAAGAAAGTCACCGGGCTTCCTGGGTGGGTTTCCTGCCTGAGGAGTGTCTGTGCTTTGCTTTCTTTTCTCTAAGCGGATTGGATATTGAGTCGGCACAGGATGGTTTCTCACCCATTTTTCTCACTCGGTCCCGTTGTGAGGATTTCCTCTCCAGGGAACCTTTCCCAATGTGACTGCCTGGTTCTCTGTGGCTGTAGCATAGCAGGCCGCCCACCCTGACCCCATCTGCCCGACCTGCGACCTGCGACCTTGTCCCCTTCCCCAGCCCCAGCCCCAGCGGGACAGGAGTGTGCCGTCTGCCTCCACCACGCAGCCAACACCTGCCTGGTGCCCTGCGGCCACACGCACCTCTGCAGCTGCTGCGCCCGGCGGGTCTTCGGGGACACGGCCAGGTGTCCCCTGTGTCGCTGGGAGATCGAGGCCGTGGTCCCTGCCCGCCCGCCAGCCCTGAGGTCTGAAGCCGGCCTCCCGGTGTGAGCGGCGGCCGGCTCCGGGCTGTCCCCCGGAGGAGGGGCAGCCCCCTCCTGGACAAACCCCGGAAAGGCTGGGGTTACAGCTCGGCAGAGGGGGGGCGGGGCTCCCCTCTCTCCGCAGGTTAAGGGGGCCTGAGGTAGACAGCGGCCCCACCCTGGCCAGAGGCTGGGGTCCTTCTGCTTAGCTCCAGGTTCTCTGTGCCTGGCTTTTGGCTGGTCACTTCGCACAGCCACAACTGGCCTAGCAATCCCTACACGGGCAAGACCAGGGTTCTTGGCACGCCCGGAAGCCACGCGTGTTGACGAGGAGGATCTTGGTCCGGAGACGGGCGGCCGGCCGGTGTGAGAGCTGAGGGGTTCATGCAGCTGCGGTGCCTGCGGCAGCCCTGCCCGCGGGGGGACTGAGGAGCCGGCCAGACGCGGGGGACATCGGGTGTTACATCCCGGTGGGAGCCGGTGGCCGCCGCTGTCCTCAGTGAGTGGGTCAGGGGTCCGCTGCAGCGGCCGGCCGTGAGGACCGGCGAGATCACACGTCGGAAGATGAGTCAGCGCACGAGCGAGCGCTGCTGTCATTGTGCTAGTTTCCGAGCCGCCGAAATAAAGCTGTCTTCTATGAATGTGGCTCTGCAGTGAGGGTGCCCCTTTGTTTCCTCGGTGGGAGGAGGTGGGGCTGTGGCCGGTCAGATGCCTGGACCTTTGGGGACGTGCCCTCCCGTCCTGCACAGACACACACGGAGCCTGCCGCAGGCGGAGGGAAGGGAGGAGCGGGACCCTCTGGGCACTCTGTTCTGCCGAGCATGCGGAGGGGACCGTCCTAACACCAGCCCTGAAGTCACACCAGCTTAGCCCTTGGCAGCCTTGATTTGGGGGAGAGTGACTGGGAGCTCCGGCTCCCGAATGAAAGGAGAGATTGACCTGGGCCTGAGCAGTAGGCGTGTGGAGTAGGAAGCAGGGGCAGGGGCAGGGAGGAGGGAGTAGGGGCAGGGAGGAGGGAGCAGGGAGGAGGAAGCATGGAGCAGAGGCAGGGAGGAAGGAGCAGGAGCAGGGGCAGGGAGCAAGAAGCAGGGAGGAGGGAGCTGGGAGTAGGGAGCAGGAGCAGGGAGCTGGAAGCAGAGAGCAGGGAGCTGGGGGCAGGAAGCAGGTTTGTGGTGCAGGGGGCAGGGGCAGGGAGGAGGGAGCAGGGAGCAGGGAGGAGCAGGGAGCAGGGAGGAGTAGGGAGCAGGGAGCAGGGAGGAGCAGGGAACAGGGAGGAGGGAGCTGGGAGCAGGGAGCAGGGGCAGGGAGCAGGTGTGTGAAGTAGGGAGCAGGGAGGAGGGAGCAGGGAGTTGGGGCAGGGAGCTGAGAGCTGGGAGCAGAGAGCTGGGGCAGGGAGGAGGGGCAGGGAGGAAGGAGCAGGAGCAGGGAACAGGGAGGAGGGAGCTGGGAGCAGGGAGCTGGGAGCAGGGAGCAGGGGCAGGGAGCAGGTGTGTGAAGTAGGGAGCAGGGAGGAGGGAGCAGGGAGCTGGGGCAGGGAGCTGGGAGCTGGGAGCAGAGAGCTGGGGCAGGGAGGAGGGGCAGGGAGCAGGGGCAGGGAGGAAGGAGCAGGGGCAGGGGCAGGGAGGGAGGAGCAGGGAGGAGGGGCAGGGAGCAGGGAGCTGGGGCAGGGAGGAGGGAGGGGCAGGGAGGAGGGAGTAGGGGCAGGGGCAGGGAGCAGGGAGCTGGGAGCTGGGAGCAGGGAGGAGGGAGGAGGAAGGAGGGGCAGGGAGCAGGTGTGTGGAGCAGGGAGCAGGCCTGCCTGGGACGCTGCTGGTGGGCCAGCTCGGTGACCTGGGAGGCGCCCGGGAAGACCTGACCTCGGCATGTGACTTGACCTTTGAGCCTCGGGTTCTTCACTTGTAACGTGGAAATGAGATCATGTGTGGTGATACGTTGTGACGATAATGAGAACCTGTACCTTGCAGGAAGTGCTCACAACATGCAGCTCCCTTCCCTGTGCTGGCAGCTGCCTGGATGCAGCCAAGAGCCACTGGGCAGCGTCGGGCGGTGTCCTGGCAGGCTGGGGGCACCCATTGCTTTGGAGTGATTCCTATGGATCCTAAAACATGCTCTTTCTTCCTGTAAGTGCCCCTCTTTTTAAACCCAGATACTCCCAGGCAGTGCATTCCTCTACTCCTGTCTGAGTGAGCACCTCCTCATTAGTTCCCACCTGGGGAAGCCTCTCTTAGAAATGGCCCCTCACCGGAGCTGGCACTTCTGGGGGGGGGGGTGACCTACGACGTCTGCAAATCTATTCTTCCACAGAAGCAACAAAAACATTGGCAAGATATTATACAGGACACACCTGGATACTAACCAGAGGCCAACCACCCTCTGCAGAGGGTTGTCAGAGAGAACTGCTGCACGTTGGTGAGAACAGTGGGATTTGTGGGGTTGAACTTGGCCTACTCCTGCCCCGCTAACCCAGCGTCAGGAGCCTTGGAGCCCAGCAGCCTGCAGCCGGCAGCGAACGGGCTGGGCGGCTCCTCAGAGCTTCCATCTCCAGCCGTCCTTACTGTTTGGCCTGCAGGGAGTTCCCGGGGGAGCTTCCCTTCGGTGTTGCTATTATTTAACCAAACTCTCCCCACGGGAAACCCCACCCCAAGTTGTTATATTCCGACCTCGGGCTCCCTCCACGGGGAAAACCGTTCTCAGGGCGCTGCTCAGACACAATCAGCTTCAATTATTCAATTAGCAGGTGCCACGACGGTGATACAGGTGGACAAACAAAGGCACAGCCGGAGATTTGAAAGGGAGATCTGAGGAATGAGCTGGCCACAGGGAGGGTGAGAAACCCTGTGTTCCTGGGTCCCGGAGGCTGTGCGCTCCGTCTCCGTGTGGCTGCTTCCACGGCTTGTGCAGGCAGGAAGTGAAGGCAGGGCAGAGCTGCTCATGCCTGACAGGAAAAGCATGCCTCAACCCCCACACAAAGCGCTTAGCAAACGGTAGATTTCCTAGCTCATGGCGTTTAAGGAAATCCCTATCCAATCATTAGCTGACCATTACACTAACTGAGCAGAGAGTCCATGGGCTTCACACTACAGGAAATACATACTTGACAAAAATCAGTCCAGGAAGGTCATTAAACAAACAGCAGCAACATCAAACTGAAGCGGGGAGGGTGTCTCATATTCAGAGTAGCGACATTATATTATCTAAAAAAACAACAACAACAACAACCACCCCCCCTCAAAAAAAAAAAAAATGACACCAGGCAAGTATGGCTCATGCACAGGAAAATATTAGTCACTAGAAACTGTCCCTAAAGGAGGCCAAATATTAGGCTTACAAAGACTTCAAACCAATGATTATAAATATGTTCAAAGCACTAAAGAAACCACATCCAAAGAATTAAAGAAAAGTATGTCATTGGTGGCTCACCAAATAGAGATGATCAATAGAGTGATAGAAATTATAAAAACAGCCAAATGGAAATGATGGAGTTGAAAGCACAATGCCTGTAATGAGAAACCACTAGTGGGCTTCAACAGCAGATTTGAGTGCAGGAGAAAGGATCCGTGAACTTGAAGATAAACTAGTGGAGATTATCAGTCTGAGGAACAGGAGAACAGGTGCTCTAACATACACATGATGGGAAAACCAGGAGGAGAAGAGAGGGAGAAAGGGGGAGAAAAAAACATATAGTATTTGTAGAAGAAAGTTTCCAAATTTGATGAAAAAATATTAATCTTCACATCCAAAAAAATCAGCAAACTCCAAAGAGGATATATTCAAAGAAATGCACACTAAGATGTAGCATAGTCAAATTGTCAAAAACCAAAGACAGAGAACCTCAATGGCAAACAAAACAACAAAAAAAACTCATCACGTACAAGGAATCCTCAATAACAGCTGACTTCTTAACAACAACGACAGAGGTCAGTCCTAGCTGGTTTGGCTCAGAGGATAGAGCACCAGACAATGGACCAAAGGGTCCCAGGTTCTATTCTGGTCGAGGGCACGTACCTCGGTTGCAGGTTCCTTCAAAGCCTGGGCCCTGGTGTGTGAAGGAAGCAACCAATAGATGTGTTTCTCTCATATTGATATTTCTCTCTTTCCCTCTCTCTTCCACTTTATAAAAATCAGTGGAAAAATATCCTCGGGTGAGTATTAAAAAAAAAAAATTGATAGAGGTCAGAGGGATGATACACTAAAAGTGCTTAGAGATAATCAGTATCCATGCCAGGACCCGTTTGGCTCAGTGGATAGAGCGTCGGTCTGCGGACTGAAAGGTCCCAGGTTTGATTCCGGTCAAGGGCATGTGCATTGGTTGCAGGCACGTCCCCAGAGAGGGGTGTGCAAGAGGCAGCTGATCGATGTTTCTCTCTTATTGATGTTTCTAACTCTCTATCCCTTTCCCTTCCTCTCTGTAAAAAAATCAATAAAATATATTAAAAAAGAATTCAGTACCCACATAGACACTGGGGTGGTGGGAGCATGTCCTGGGGGGTGGGAGTGTCCAGGGTGTCAATCGGGGAAAAGGAGACATATGTAATACCTCAAGCAATTAAAAAAAAGAGAATTCAGTATCCAACAGAAACTACCCTTCAAAAGTGAAAAAGAGCCCCAGCTGGTTGCTCAGTGGTTAGAGTGTTGGCCTGTAGACTGAAGGGTTGTGCGTTTGATTCTGGTCAAGGGCACATATCTTGGTTGCAGGCTCAATCCCCAGCCCAGGTCAGGGTGTGTGCAGGAGACAACCAATTGATGTGTCTCTCAAACATCAATGTTTCTCTCTGTCTCTACCCCTCTCTTCCATCCTCTGTAAAAGTCAATGGAAAATTCCTGTGAGGATTAACAAAACAAAACAGAAAAACATGAAGAAGAAATTATGACATTCTCAGGTCAGTAAAAAACAGTGCTCATAGTGAGCTCAACTGGCCTTTGAGAAATACTAAGGGAATTCTTTCAGATTAAAATGAAAGGATTAATCGTTAACCTTTTCTCCAATTGTATAGATAGGAATCATTTTACAAGTGATGGGATAAGAAT